GGAGTGTGGCCGTGCTGGGGTAGGGAGTGGAGTGGCAAACGAGACAGCACAGAAGTGTAGGGGCACTAACACATTTCGCCTACAGACATGAACTTTCTTCACACCACCCTGTGAAGAGGGTAAGCTACAAAAAAAAACCCCACCATGACCCTCAGCGATGTGCAGCAACGAGGCAAACATGGTAATTTCATGCTCCCCCTCTTCATGTATACCCCCGCTAGGCACTGGCTCATCTCTGTATCGCTGCTTTCACCCTGCTCCCTCGGAGCTACAGGAGAAGGTAACGCTTAGGTCTAAGGAGAGGAAATCACCTCTGCATACTGTAAAATGAAGCACAACAGGGCACTGTGTATATGCATCGCTTTGCTAACTTCTACTCTGAACTACAGGGGCAGGGACGTGCTGCCAGCACGTTGAAAGGGACTGGTAGGAAGACAGCGAACTCCATGGAGGCCGATTTCCTACTTGGGGTCCTTGGTCTAGTGTATTCACTTGTAGTAAAGTATCATAGATTGGTTAGCTTAGACAACATAAATTTAAAGTCTCACCGTTCTGCAAGCTTGAAGTCTGAGCTCCAAGTCACTGGCAGGTTCCTTTTGAGGGCTACAAAGGACCTGCTCCGCATGCCTCTGCTTGGATGGTTAATTCTGTGTGTCAACTTAGGCCACAGAACCTAGATATTTGATCAAGTACCAGTCTAAACAGCACTGTCAAGCTATACCTTAGATGAGACTAACATTTCTTTTCTTTTTCTGAGACAGGAAGTCACTAGGCAGTTCAGGCTGGTCCTGAACTCACTAAGTGGCCTAGGATGGCTTTGAATTTGCCGCCATCCTCCTGCCTCAGCCTCCCAAGTGCTGAGTGCTGGGATTATAGGGATGCGCCATCACACTGCCCGAGATTAACATTTAAATCCGGAGACTCTGAGTAAAGCGGATTATTCTCCATGTGGTTGGGCCTCATCCAATCAGTTGAAAGGCTAAATGAAGACTGAGGTCCCTGGAAGAAGAGCTAGTTTCACTTTGAGCTGCCTCTGTACATGAGCTGCAACACTAACTTTTCTCCAGGTTTCTAGTACGTAGGCCTGCACTGTGAGTTTAAGATTCACCAGCCTTCTCGCCCATAGGAGTTAATTCCTTAAAATAAATCTCTCTATATTCCCCCACCCCACTGGTTCTGTTTTTCTACGGAACCTTACATATTGTGTTTGGTAGTTCCCTGGCTTGTGGCAGTGTTATCTGCAGCCTTCACCACGCATTCTCACCGTGTCTGTGTCTAGCTTTCCCCTTTAAGGGCACCAGTCATACTGGACTGGGGACTATCCAAATGATCTGATGTTAACTTCATTATGTCTGTAAAGATCTGATCTTAAAAAGTTATACTCTAAAAGAAAAAAAGTAAAGTCATATTCTAAGATACTAGGACTTAAGATTTAAGTACATGAGGGGTGGGGGTGGGGGGGAATAATTCATCTCATAACCAGCAGTGATACCTAAAAGGCATTAGAAATTCTGAAACCAGTTGAAATCACTTTTTCAATTTTATTTATTTTTTTTGTTGTTTTTTTTTTTTTTTTTTTTTTTTGGTTTTTCTCCGGTACCGGGAACTGAACTCACGACCTTGCGCTTGCCAGGCAGGCACTTTTGCCGCTGAGCTAAATCCCCAGCCCCACTTTTTCAATTTTATATGTGCTTATATATACTTTCTTTGTTTTTGTTTTTTGTTTTTGTTTTTTGGTTTTTTTCCGGTACTAGGAATTGAACTCATGACCTTTTGCTTGCCAGGCAGGCGCTGTGCCGCTGAGCTAAATCCCCAGCCCCTCTTTCTTTACAGGTATATATCAAAATGTCTGAGATGAGAAATTCCCTTGTTATAAAGCCATGTAAAATTGTGGCTCAGGATTTAACACGCTCTCATTGGCTTGAACCACCAATGGTACATGCATGACTGTCCCATCTGGTGGCTTGTACCAGTCATGCATGTACCACTGGTGGTTTAGAGCCAGCTGGCAGCTAGACACACAAATTACAGCCCCACTGTGAATGTGCTAAAAGGCAGACTGCTCATGAACTTTCTTTTTTTTTTTTTGGTTTTTCTCCGGTACCGGGAACCGAACTCACGACCTTGCGCTTGCCAGGCAGGCGCTTTTGCCGCTGAGCTAAATCCCCAGCCCCCGCTCATGAACTTTCCATACATTATCATAACAGTAGCTGGAGTCAGATTAATTAAGAGCACCTAATTTCTAAATATGTTCACTACCTGAATTCACTGAGCAAGTTCCAAAACCAACAGGTATGAGTTATCTGAATATACAATCTTTTTTCTCCTTTATTAGTGAAAACTTTCAATACAGCAAAAATAATACAACAAATCACCTGTATTTCCAGTTCTCCATTTTAACAATGATCAATCTGTGGCTAGATGGTTCCTATGAGAACTAAAGTTTTGGTGCTATCCATGGTGCTATCCATTCTTTGCTATCACTGATTATTTATGTATACCTTGCACTTTACTGACATGCTTCTTATCTGCTGATTTTCAGACTTAAACATGTGCGAATAAAAAGATTCTGAAAGTCTTTTTGTTTTTGCAGTATTGGGGACTGAACTGGTTGTCTTTGCACTGAGCTACACCCCTCACCCTTTTTATACTTAGGCAAAAGGCAGCAAAAAAGTACTGATAAAAGATTACAATTACATTGAAAAACTACTTGATTGTTATCACACTGACCATTCATTTTCTCACCAGACTTCAAAAGGAAGCCAGCCATTTGCAAGTCCCTGAAGCCTAAATTAGAGATTATGTTGTCATTTAAGAAAGCTTAGCTTCCACCTTCAACTCACTTCTCTGAAGGAATGATCCCAACCAGTTTGGGGTTGCCAACCGTTTCCAAATACTTGTAACTCAGTTGTGATGCAACTAACTGTCCCAGTGTGGCCAATGAAATGCAATGCTCATCCCTCCCTCATTTCCCTACTGTTCATTATCACTCACAATGTACTCAACTCTTATTGCCTTCCAATTTTATGCAATGACACCCTTTAGCCTAGCTCTAGGGAGAACAGGATGGGCGTGCACAGGCACAGAAAATGGTTTCCTTGTTGCTTTTGGCCTTTTGGTGAATTTCAGCCCAGGTGGCAATTTAAAAGGAGGAAACCTTTCAAAACACTAAAAAATAATGCAGCTTCTCACCAGGTCCCAGAAGAGAGGGTGAACATTGGCTCACTGTGGATTCCCATTCCGGCTGTGAAGGAACTGCTTTGAGATGTGCAGGGCTTCTTTTCTCACCAGAGGTTTCTGGCTGTTTTCTATTTTCCAGTAAGACTTCTAAATAGCAGAGTGGAGAAAGACAGATTATCGGTAAAGACAGCAGAAGCAGCACACAGGAATGTCGTTCTCAGTGGCTGGCAGAGAACAAATTTTAACCAAATTAAGGTGCGCACATCTCTGTTAACCCCCTCAAGGTTTTCCAGCAAAACTAAACGTCAATTACGCTGATATCAATAGTAACACGTTCCAGAAGCCTCAGAACAGCATGTAACACTGAATACCCCAGAAAATCTCAGCCACCAATAAGAGTATTTATATTCTGGAGGTTACTCTCCTCCAGCTCTGGAGCAGAGCGCAAAAGTAAAAGAATGAAGATCTGTCCACAGGACACAAGTGTGCTGTGATTCCCTATCCTGCTGGTGGCTCTAATTCTGTCCATTTACCCCGGCACAGCTGGGGGGTGGGGTAGGGATCAGTAATCCACACCAGAGGGAGTCACAGTTTGCGGTACCTCAGTTTCTGGAATTGCAATCTCCTTACTCCCTAAGTCTCTGGAACAATTGTTCTACCTTTAAAATGGGGTGATCCTTCCAGGGGAGAAAGAAGGACAGGGGGGGCAGGGGCTATTCTCGCCGACCCCCTCCCACTCCCACTGCACAGAGAAAACCCGCCAAGACCCCGGCCCTGCTCAGCGAGGCGGTCAGCTTCCCCAAATCCCGGACCCATCGTGGAGCGTGGTCCTGTGTATGGGGATGGGGTATGCTCTGTCCTTTCAGGTAGAGTACACTCCCCTATTGCTCAAACTCCACATCGTCACCTGCTCTTACCCGAGCCGGAACACTGTCGCTTGTTCTCGGGAATCGAGGTTCTGGAACGCAGCCATTTTGGACACGCCCCCTTATGCTTTGCCACGCCTCTCGCGCCCAAAAACGGTTCGCTATTCAGCTTAAGGCCCCGTTCGGCCTCCGTTCCCCAGAAAGCCGGAAGTCCCGCCCTAGACAAGCTTCCGGTACCCGAGACCGTACTTGCCGTTTTCCCTGCCTCCGCCAGGGTCCGCACCTGTTTTCTACCCCGATACATATCTATAGCGACCACGATACCCACTCCGCGGCCAGACGCCTGCTCGTAATTTGCCTTTGCCTTTCGTGTCCCCCACCATTTTTATCACGTAGGAGCGCGGTGAGGCCACGCCTACACGCACGGGCCGCACCCCAAAGTTCAGGGCACGCCTCTGCGTTCCGCTGACCTTTGTCCCGTCTTCCTTAGTCACCGGCCCACTTCCCCCTATGGCCACGCCTCCACGCTCCGCCTAGCCCACGTCCCACGTAGCTAGTTTCACATACCTGCGATCACCAGTTCACTCATCCTACCCGCCACAAGTTCCTCCCTGGATCCTCTACGCCTGTTCTCCAGTCTAGAAACTTGCCCTTCACCTGGAACAGCCCCTTCCGCGAATTCGCCCTTTTGCCACCCCCTCCAAGAGCCGCTACAATTCCCCTAAGCCACGCCTCTTCCTTTGGACCCTGCAGCCGGCCCTTTTCACTAGCTAGGCAGTTCCCACGCTGGCCGTGTCCCGCTGGCTTACGTCATATCCCTTTCGTTTTGCATTCCCCACCCCTCGGTCCATGTCGATCATAGGATACTCCAGCCTACTGCCACGCTTGTAGGGTTTGCATTGGTCTGTCTAATCCCGCGCACGCGCATTTACTGCAGTGCCCAAAGTTCCCAGGCCACCCACTTTCGGTTCTGCTGTACCCATGCTTCACGTGCCAGGACCCGTTTCCCTTCCTACGAAATGGACAAGTTTCTTAAGAAAACCGCCGAAGTCCCAGAGGTAGACTTCAGCAGCATTTATAGTGAAACGAGCCTGCGGATTCCTGATCTCCTAAAAAATGACTTTCTTCATGTTTCTCCCAGCTCTAAACATCATCACTCGATAAGCAGTAACCGGGAAGGAAACAGAACTGGAGGATGTTTTAGTTAGATTTCATGTCCTCTAGCCCGACCTAGAGAGCCAGCGGGACCCATGACCCTTCCTGCCGCTCCGCATACTTTAGATGCTAGCACACGCGGGAGGTAAGCACACTCCTACTTCCCGCTGTGCTCTAGATGACTTTTTCTAGGCACCGCTGCTTGCAACTTCCTATTCAGATGCTACTCTGTTTACATCATTTACAGATCTGGATCCACAAGAAAAAAGCGAGGAAGTTATTACCAGCTTCCCCCTCCCCCGAAATCCTTGAATGGGCATTCCTGGAGGAAGGACGCTTTTTATTCGCCAGTCAGTCGAGTACAGTACAGTGTTCCCGTGTCAACACAACGCTCAAGAAGCTTACAGCCTGAAGTTCCCCGACTTGAATTTGGATGGGGACAAGAAAGGAGGAGAAAGTTAAAGACATGTGGTAAGGGAGTTGATAGGTGGAAAAGGACTTGGTAAGTGCTGGTCTGGTAATCCGACTATTAGGAGTGTTTGGGGGCAACAAACAAAGAAAGCACGTTCATAGTACTTAACCACAATCCCTTACACAGTACATTCTCAGTAAATCTTCGTTGCCCTTTTCACTTGGATACAGGGCTGCAGTTTTTCCGTTGGTCGCAATAAGATTTGTTATATGTAATTCTACATATGCCAGCAGTCAAGATTTTATAATCACATAGAAAATACGAGTTCCCTTCTCGTCCACCTTCCATCCATTTTTGCCTGGAAGATGGGATATGTGTATGGGGTTCACATTGCTGAACTACACACAGAGTAAAGAACAATTTTTTTTTTTTTTTTTTTTTTTTGGTTTTTCTCCGGTACCGGGAACCGAACTCACGACCTTGCGCTTGCCAGGCAGGCGCTTTGCTGCTGAGCTAAATCCTCAGCCCCCAAGAACAATTTTCAAAAAAATTTTTTTATTAAAATCACCTTGGCCCTGCAAACTTCATCTCATTTATATAAAATGTTTCAAGTGCCATTTTTTGCCTGAAAAAATAGATTCACAGGAAATAGGATTAAGTATACCTTGTGTAAGTCACTTCTTGGATTATTATAGTATTAGTTATACTTCACTTCTTCCAGGAAGGATCTAGAGCAACTTACCAAAATATAGACAACACTGTATAAATAGAAATTGTTGAGAGAACCAAAGGGCAAAATTCATTGAATGAGAACAATTGCCAATTGCACACCATCAGATCCAGAACAGTAATTGAAGTTGAGCAATAGATTTGCCTCTGAGCTTTTAAATGGTCATAGGAAGAGGAAATGACAATTATTTAAGGCTTTACAGAGTTGATGAAAAACAGCTAGGATTCTGTTTTTGAGTATAGTTTTTCCTAATCTTTTGTTCTGAGAAAAGTTCCATTTCGTCACTATGACGATGCTATGAGTTAAAAGGGAAATAAGTGTTCAGTGGATCCCCTTAATGTAAACTTGCCACAATCACAAAGCACAGTGTATTTTTTGTTGTTGTTTTGGTACCGGGAATCGAACTGAGGACCTTGCACTTGCTAGGCAGGCGCTTGTGCTGCTGAGCTATATCCCCGGCCCAAAGCACAGTTTATTAAATTGGTTTTTTTGAACCACCCAAACTTTGCAGTTGAGATGAGTACCCAGACTCCCCAATGATCTGGCTTAATTCAACGTAGTGGTTAGGTGATGGCAAATAAGTTTCAACCTACTGTCACCTGTGACCCTTCATATTAGCTAGCTGGATAAATGAGTTGGGAACTTTTGTGGCTGAGTTCATGTTGAGAAGAAAAAAGTTATGTAATAGATTAATAATGTCTGTTGTGGCCATAGGGCAGGTGAGTGCAAACAACAATATATCTAGCATCTCTGACTTGTAATAGGGGTATTGTGTGCACCTTTATGGAGCCCACAAAAACATTCTCATTATAAAGACTTCTGATGAAATTCAGATGGCTCAAGATCATTATTGCTGTAAATGCTGAGATACTTATTAATTTATGTCCTTTAAATCAACCGGAATGAAGATAATTTAAAATTCTCTTATGCAAATAACATATATCGTACCACTTACAAGGCCCAATGCCCCTATCGCCACTCCTTTGCAGGGGCTGACCAAAGAAAGCACCTATAGACAGGGCTAACCGGGATTTGGTGATCCCCCAGTAGGCAGCAAAATCGATAATTAAGGATGGGTAAAATATTACCCATAGAAAATGGCTGCAATAATTTTAGCCAAGAACAAAAATTATGACTTGCCAAAACCATGAGAAAAGTCAAGAATTGTCCAGAGACAAAGTTATAACTTTAGTTATAAATCTAATTGATTTTTATTTGTGATTCATGAATTAGGGAAGCCTCCATCCCACTGGGCTACAGCAGAACAGTGGGTTCTGTAAGATGGAAATAAAAAATCAGAAAAACAAAAAATACTGGTTGGTTGGCGTCAAGTTCCTTTAGGTTACTCTTTGTAAGGATGAAAACAGAAGGCCTTTTTAGGTATGCTAATTAAAGTAAATAAAATAGGCTGTTTTCAGAGAAAACTGATCTGTTTGGGGATCTGTGTGCTCTCTAAACTTTCAGGTTGATCATGTGGCATTTAGCATGAGTGATCCATTTTGGTTTGGTGTGTGTTGTTGGAACTAGTGTAGGAACGGAGTCAAAAACAATGGCCTCCCATAATTTTTGTTTTAACATACCTGAGCAGTGGTGGAAACAGATAAATACGGTATGTAGGAAGAATTGTCAGTGAAGTCTTTCATTACATGAGATTCATTATAAAATATTGGTCTCATGCCCAAAACACACAGACATTCTTATGTCCTGTTTAAAAAACAGTCCTTTAAATTTTTACCTTGGGTGTAAAAAGTTGGCAGAATTACATTTACCTAGTTTATCAGAATTAATTTTTATTTGTAAGCAGTAGTGATTAACTTTCTCTAAAAAACAAAAATGTTAATCTGTGAATAATAAGACAGAGTTCATAATGGTTATGGGTATTGATTAACCTACAAAATTTGATGAGCTTTGTGAATATCCTAGCGTCATCTGATTTTTTTTTCATTTTAAAAAGGACATGAGGTAGGGGGATGGAAACAAAAACATTCCAAAGCCCAGGGAACCTTGTTTATCCAGGATACTGGGAGCTGTTTTTCTCTGGCTAGGAATGTGAAAAATAACATTGCAGTGAACTGCATAGTACTGCACTTCATCTCCAGAGTCTCAAACTTACTAGAATTCCAGTTTATGGTTCAAATTAGTTTCATTTTCTTAAACTGTGAAATATTCATGGGCCATGAGAAATGCAAAAGTGAATCAAACATACACTGTCATCTAGAAAATTACAATATTGTAGGGCACAAAATAAATTATGTCAACAATATGTGGATGTACAAATGTGAATAAAATGCTATAGGAACACAGGAGGAGAATTAGTGGATTAGACAAGTCAACGATAAAACTGTACAACAAAAGCAAAAGAGAAATTTCTCAAAAGAGTTAGTAATAAAATAGGCTTGGCATAATGGCCCGCATGTTTAAAGGTAAATGAAAGCTCACAGGATTTAAATTGAGGAAATCGTGAAACACACAAAGAACAGAGGTAAAACATCATCAGCTTGCCTGGCCTAGCTGGGAGAAGAGCGCAGAGGATGGAGGAGGGAGTATTAGTGTAGCTACGTGTGAAAGCCAAGTTAGGTTCAAATCTTAGAGGACAAAGAATTTGACTTTTCTTATGTCAGCGTTGGAGTTCGAATACTCTAATAGAAACTGCTCCGTGCGCAGTAGAAGAAGGACCATGGAGATAGGAAGGGCATCCTATGGTAGGGTATTTCCACTGTGCTGCTTCCTAACCATGGGCTAGTAACCTGGCCACCCATGTGCACCGAGAGCTCTAATAACCAGGAGATTACTTTTTCATTAGCCATCTTAATAAAAGGATAAGTCAGCGTATTTTAATAGTAATTGCAGTGTATAGAACACAATATGTTACAATCTAACTATGCTTAATACATACACATATATCCCATATACATCTGGTTCCCTTCTATCTCCTGTTCACTGTGTGGATTGTTTCCATTAATCCAACAACAAGGAGAAAAATGTTATGAAGTACAGGCCTGAATGATGTTTCTGAAGTGTATGAGACAGTAGCATCCCTGGCCTTCATCCATCTGATATCAGTAAGGCCTCTCTTCTGCACCATGGGTGATGATCAAAACTGTGTCTTGATATTGCCAGTGAAGCCTATGTATCCCCACACGCCTTTACACTTTTGGTGAACTTTAAAAAGCATCTCCTATGAATCAAAAGAATAACACTTTTTTATTTCATGGGATCTCATATTTTATTTGCCCCAGAGCAGAGGATCAATAGTTATGTGCCTAGAAACTGCTTTTCAGTAGTGTTGTGGAGTATGAAAAACACAGAGAAATCAATTTCTTTTTCCTGTTTCAGAGACTGGATGCCCATTTTTTGTTGCTCATGGCAACAGTAATCTAAACGTTTAATTTCTGCTCTCTAAACTTGAACGTTTTGAAATCAATAGTAACATATCAGAATGATTGAAACTGCTTTATTTGTTGTTATTTCACAGTTACTAATAAGTTAGTTATTAAACCCCTATGTGTGAAATTGCTGAAATGAGCAATTTATGAAGCAAGTTACACAGATACGAGTTCCATGGAAATTTACAACTTAAAATCTGTGTATCAAAACATTAGATTTCTGCAAATTTTGAAGTGGAAGACAATGAAGACAAGCTAGTTCTTTTTCCCATCAATTTTCTTGAGATCTCCATAAATTACTTAACAATGAATTTCTTTTTAGTATTTTAGAGGTCAATTTGAAGTCAACTTGTTGGCAGTGTCATATATATCATTTGAACTTTTATCTTTTTATTCCCTTAGCAGAACCTATAAAAGCCTGTATTATGGATGGTCCTGTTCCTGTCTGCTGTTTCTTTTGTTGCAGGACACACTTTTGTAGGTAATTATGGGGACATAGGAAAAATGAAAACTGTAATTGTGAACTATTTAGAAAATAAGAATGAGATTACTCCATATCTGTATGTCCCATGTCATATGGCCAGGCAATACTCTAAGGAAAATTTACAACCTTAGATATTACAATTATTGACTAAGGAAAAGTAAAAAATAAATGAACCTATTACTCGACTTGAGAGATATAAAAATAACAAATCAAAAAAAATTCTCAGTAAGGTACTTTTTGAACCTAGTGCTTGTCGATGAGGAAGACAGAAGGTACTTCAAGCAGCAGGAAATCATCTTATGGAGAAAAGCTCCTGGAAAACTGAGGAAACAGAGAACAAATTTTCACCTCACCAGCGATTTGAATCCCCAGACTCACAGGTATCTGCTGAACAGCCTGAAATGTAACTGAATAGAAAGAGAAAGAGAAAAGGGAAAAAATCCATACCCATTGAGACTAGGTTCAGCAGGTTAAAGATGGTTGCAGCATGTGTGTCGGGGGGAGGCCTAAACTCCATACACAGTAGTCTTTGTTTATCTTACAGTGCTGCATTTATTTTACAGTATAATTAAATGTTCTTCAGTATAAACATTTTAAAAAGTGCTTTCTTTGAAACACTGATTTCTTGAGCTGCCTTTTTATTTTTTACTGTACACTTTGATGATAAGCACTCAGATATTGCATCAGCATAAACATTAAAGATTTTCATTTGAATAGGAAAACAAGAAACCAGATATAATGAGTGCAAGAGTAAGGACTTAACACATGTATCAAAGACTGATGAATGAGAAACAGAAAGAATAGAATTTACACTACATCCATGACCTTGTTCTTTGACTAAACTACTGTACAAATAAGTAAACCTCTGTCAAGTTTAGTGGAAAATGAGAAAGTTAATATCCATACTAGAAAACGTAAAGAGAACATAGCAACAAATGTAGATACTTTGTGGGCTATATTTCAGAAATTCAATGAAAATACTAGAATATTTAACAAAATAAATAACTTCTTGGAAATTATCAATAGTCAAAATGGACTCAGAAAAAGTTTAAAGCATGAAATAAATGATAATATAAGGAATGAAGTTTTCAAAAAACTTCTTTACAACATGCATTTGTTTAGATTCTTTATTTTTATGCATTATAAGTATTTCTAAACATAGACAGTGTTAAAAATCTTTTTATATCATTTTGAAAATGATAATATAAGGGCTAGAGAAGAAAGCCCCTTCTTTTTTTCCTTTTTGGCATCAGGACTCGAACTCAGGACCCCATGTTTGCCAGGCAGGCCGTGTGCCACTGAGCTACATCCCTAGCCTACCCTTCTAAAATCAGCACTTCAACAGGAACCTACATGATATTCTTCTATGAAACTAAGTTTAAACACTCCTAGACTAAAAGCTAATAGTTAATTTCAGCAACAGTCTAATGATAAATTTAAAAGGGCAGCTTAAGTGTTGAACCAATGTAAAGAAATTTGGTGATACAATGCACCAAATGGTCGAAACCCTTTGATCATAAGTATAGATAATAAAAAGGCAGATCATAAACTATATGGTCAGTTACTGATAAAAATAATTTTTGGTGATTAGAAATTAAAGGATAGTTTTGCATATGACACATCATTTTAGAACAGCTCACCAGATTCTATGATATAGCAGCATTCCCATTAGAGAAAGGAAGACAAAAGTCCAAGATAATTTCCACCATTACATGTTCCGATAGTATCAATATAAGGAGGTAGAACAACAACCTCATACAAGAACATACAAGAAAACCCAAAGCTAAGGAAGTTTTATTCCACTGATTAAACTATATCATCATTAGTAAACCATGCTGGTGATATATGTGTGTTTTCTGCACTTCTCCTTTTGTTTCTCTGTATTTTCTATACAAAACTTCTATCATTCTTTTTTAAAAAATCATTTTAAAATGAGAGAACAAACGTTGAAAAATCCAAGTTGAAAGTTTTGTTCTCTTTTAATGGTTTACATTGACTAAAACTCAGTATTTTACTGTCTTCCATTCTAGCCACATAAATGATTAAGAGTATATGAAGAAATTTGTCACTTTTATGAATTGCAAGACTAAAGAAAAGTTTAATCAGATTTCTTTGTCTCTAATATGGGTTTGGTGGGTGTAAACAACATGCTCTGTTACAGTCCCTAGCTCTACGTGTATTGACTTTTCTTTCCCAAGATAACTTCATCCAGTCTGGCATTTCTTCAGGGGGTAGCTAAGTGAGCTCTTCCCCTCAGGAAATTTCCATTGCATCTAAGAGTGAAACTGCTAGAATGGCTGGGTGGGCTTGGCTGTCTCTCCCTGGGGTCCAGCTTTTCCTGACCCAGCGCCCTGGTGGCCAGGGAAAAGGAGATGAGAAAAGGCTCCTCAGGCGGACTGAGCCAGCACGAGTGGGTCACCTCTAACGAAACTGCACCTTTACTAGGAGCGCGGGGCGTGTGGATGTGCCTCAAGGTGCCACAGAGCTGATGGTGTGGATATTTTCCTCACTGTTGCTTTAAAGATCCAACTCTCCTGTTCGCCCTTGGGGTCGCTCAGTGTAAACCTTCCGCCCGTGATTTGCAAGGCCTTTGGGGGCTGCGCTGAGGGAGAGGCGGCATGGCAGAGGGAAACGTGCTGGGGGCTTCTCCTGGCTTCAGCGGGATGCCCACCAGGGGAGCCTTTTTCACTCCTTGTCTCCATCCTCAGAGCACCTCTGAGGTTTTCTTGCAATTTCAGTTTTGACCTAGGAGGCCCAGAGAGGCGCAGTGCAGCTCAGTGTGGGGGAGATCGCGCCCCAGTGTGTAAAGGGTCGCCCAGCCCACGCCTGCCATTGCTGCCCATGACTTCAACACCAGACCCTCGGGCCCTGCAGTGTCTGATGGTTTGTGATCACTGCGAGGTGTGAGGAGTCGAGGAATAATCCGGGGAACGCAGCTCACGGCAGGTGGCTGTCAGTCACTGCGTACAGCTGCCCTGACCCAAGCAGTCACTAGCCCCATGTGGTGGCTTCACCTCAGTTAAATGACCTTGAACAAGACATTCACGCCCTCTGTGCCACCAGCCCCATTTCAAGTGCCGCTGTCACTTATGGCTCCCGCGTTGGGTAGCAGAGACCAGAGACGGCACGTCCCCAGCACCACCTGCTGTGGCACAGTCGGGCGAGGCCTTTCTGGGAGGTGCATCCTTTGTTCACCAGAGGTAGCAAGGAGTGACATTCGCTACCCGATTGAGATCGCCTCCGAACCAAGTGGGCTGGCCTGAAAAGGTGGAAAGTTTTTGCCAAGGAAACCTCCAGAGGGGCCTCAATTCTTTCCAGATTGTTTCTGTGGGGCGCCTAACCAGACAACTGCAGAAGGGGTGGGGGGTGGGGCGCTTCAGATTTTGTCAACAGAGGAAGCATTCTTTTGAGGCAGAGTTTTTTGAAAACAAGGCTCTATTTCTGTTTTCCAAACACATCTTTGTAAATAACTGACAGGAAATGGTCTGCTTCTTTGGAAGTATTAACCCAAGTGATGGGTGTTAATTATTAAACCTTTTAGATGGTGGCTCACCGATTTCGCTGATATTCTAATCCGGCTCTCAGAATGGTTAAGGCAGCTTTAAGTGAAGGGTGGATTTTTTTTTTTCTCAGTTTGCCTTGTGATTTCCACTCTGAAAGAATGTTGTGGCTGTTCTTTTTCCTAGTGACTGCTGTTCGTGCTGAACTCTGTCAACCAGGTATGTAGCCTTGCAACTTAAAAATAGATTACGCTTTTAAATCTCTGACAAAGTCATCCAGTGAAAGACTTCTATTTTTCTTTATCTGCAGACATGCTGTGGCTTCAAAGTGGAGCCTGTGACTGCTTTATGAGTTTGAAAGAAAAATTTAAAATAAGATGATTTCTTTTAAACTTTCAAGAGTTTGGGGGCTAGTTTAACTAGTTTTCTGTTCTGTTGATCTGAGTTGCGTTAAGTATCAGGCTTTATCATCATATACTGGGTTCATCAGGTTCTTTATCGTCATATACTGCTCTTCCTTTTTTCTTTCTGGCAGATGCAGAAAATGCCTTTAAAGTGAGGCTTAGTATCAGAACAGCTCTTGGAGATAAAGCAGTAAGTGAAGCATCTACATATTCATTTTAAATTTTCTTTGTAATAACATTTTACTTTAATAATTGACCTCTCTATTCTGTATTGTTTTTATTGTTTTTGTGTTGTTTTGTTTTTGTTATTTTGTTTTTGTTCTTTTCTCTTTAAAATGAAATTAAAAAAATAATTGACCTGTCTGCACGGTAATCTTAATCTTGCATACATTATTTCTAAAGACTGTAAGTCTAATCTTTTCCTAAAGTAAAGGAAACATCATAAAATAGAAATTGTTATTGAAATGGATTGTCCTAAAGTACTTACCCTGTAGTGTATGCTTGAAAATATTATCTGAAGTTTTTTTTTCTTTTGTCTTTGTGAGACAGGGTCTCGCTATGCAGTTCAGGATGGCTTTGAGCTCACTTTGTAGCCCAAGCTGGTCTCGAACTCACAATGATCCTCCTGCCTCAGCCTCCTGAGTGCTGGGATTCCAGGTGTTCACCACCATGCCCAGATATGTGAAGTTTTGTGTTTCACCAAATAATTTAAAAACTTCTATCTCTGGACCTAACATAAAGTTTGAATTCTTTCCAGTTAAGAATGTGACAATATGAAACACATGCTTATGAAATAGAAGTTCTGAAATTCTCATAGAGCCCATGTGGATGTAAGAACAATAAAGACTATAAAATTCAAAAGTATTGTCTAATTCTAGTTTTAGTTTCCTGGTGTGGGTTCCAGATTTTTCCTCCCAGTAGGTGATATTAAGATGACTCAGACTAGAAGCCAAAAACAAAACAAAACAAAAACAGAAGAGAATGCTAAAGGAATTTAGGGATATTCAGTTTGCGGGCCAATCCATTAGCATTATCATTTTATTATTCACTTGATGAGTAATAATAGTTCTTGTAACTGCCAGCATTTACTGAGAACTGAATTTACTTTCTAACCTTCTAAGCACTTTGCTTCTACCAGCCCATTTAGCCTTTACAACAGCTTTTGGAGGACGATAGTACAGGTGCACCTATTCCCATTGGATAGGTGAGAAAATTGAGGTCCAAAGGAGTTAATGACCCTGTCAACATCTTAACCCAGTGAGTAGTACGGGTAAGGACAGAACCCAGGCTGTCTGACTGTACAATCCATACTCTTTTTATGAGTATGTTGGGTTTCTCATTCCAGGAGCCTCATAGCAGGTACCATGCTGGATAGTGGGCATGCAGTGGCAGCTAATAGCAGGATTGTCCTTGCCCCATGGAACTCACAGTACCAAGAGAATCAGTTATTGATTGAATGCTCAACAAGCCAAACATACATGTGCAGTGTTGAGAATGTTATAGGAAGGCCTTGGTAAGTGAACCAGGGGACCAAAGAAGGAAAGGCAGAGAGATACGCCAAGGCTTATTACAGGAAGGAGCTTGGTAAGTGTAAAGGATGGAAAGAAGGCTGAGGTATTTGGAATTGGGGCAGTAGGAGGAGTATGACATGTGATAAGCTAGGAGAGAAAGGGAATGGGCGAGGGAGTATGTGAGCTGTTTCAGGGACTTTTGTTTCAAAATGAAGAAGAGTTCAAGAGCATCAAATGTTGTTTACAGGCCAAGGAAGATATAGACTGAAAACTGCTCACTGTGTTAAGCAGTGGGGCAGTCAATGGCAACTTTACAGAGAGCTGTTTTTCTAGGGTGGTAGAGTTGGAAAGCACATATTTGAAGGAGTGAAATGGGTGGTGAATATGTGGAGTAGGTGGAAACACAAGTATGGACAATTCTTAAGAATTTTGGCTATGAAGAGTAGAAAGACAGCAGCGGGTGGATGAAAGAAAGATTAAGTGAAGTTATTTATTTAGTGGTTTTGGGAACTGAACCCAGGGCCTTTGCACTGACATTTCCAGCCCTCACATTCTGTTTAAAATTTTTCTTTTTTTTTTTTTTGGTTTTTCTCCGGTACCGGGAACCGAACTCACGACCTTACGCTTGCCAGGCAGGCGCTTTGCCGCTGAGCTAAATCCCCAGCCCCTCTGTTTAAAATTTTAAACAGAGTTACGCTAAGTTGCCTAGGCTGAGCTTGAACTTGCAATCCACCTGCCTCAGCCTCCCAGAATACTGGGATTACAGACGTGTGCCACTGCACCCAGCTTGCTGTGGTTTAAATGAGAAAAACTTGATCATAGCTAACAGGAGGTAGACAGGCTGAGGTAGATTAGAATACACAGAAGAGAGGGAGGGGAAATTGGTACTGTTTCGGTTCTGAGAAGGGCAGAGTGGAGGCTTTCTTAAAAAAGGTGAAGGGAATAGCCATTGATGGGAGAGAAATAACAAGCGTAGTATTCCAGGGGAGGAGATGCATAGGATTGTGTCTGTGGAAGAAGTTCAATATCTTGGTATCAGGAGACTGAGGGAATTGAAATCAATGTCTTGAGATGAATCTATAAATTCTAAAGGAAAAGCATCTAGTGAGTGTGAGTGTTGAAGAAAAGCAGTGTGACTTGAGGGGACTGTAGGAGACTTGGAATACTCATGTGACCCATGAGAGAAAAAAAATTGATGGAAAAACCTAAGGGATTCCCTGGCAATTTGGGGTAGGTCATGGTACATTTAGGGTTAAACCAACTACAAAACTTGTTTTGTGACTTCCTCCGTTATGTTTGCTTACTCATGAAAAATAAGGGGTTAGCTACTGTTGGAGTGTCTTTAGATGAATGCAAAAAGCAAGGTGAGCTAGGGCATTTAGGGTCCTGAAGCATGTATTATTGAAGTGAGGGACCAAGGAATCTGAACTGATGTCGAATAGGTACAACTAATATGTACCACATGGCTACTGACATTACAACAGGACGCACACCAAACCTTGAATTACAGAATGCCCAAGAAATGCTACCCAAGACATGATGAGAGTTGATTTACCGGGGTCTCCAGTTTTCATTGTGAGAAAGGAGAGAGGGAGGAAGGGAGGGAAGGGAGAGAGAGGGAGAGAGAGGCAGAGAAAGAGAGAAGGAGAGAGAAAAGAGAAGGGAAGGGAAGGGAAGGGAAGGGAAGGGATTGGAGATGAGTGAGTTCACTACCTAGTGTACCATTTTTTACCCCATGGTCTTACATTTTCTCTTTTCCTTCTCTTTCAGTATGTCTGGGATACAAATGAAGAATATCTCTTCAGAGCAATGGTGGCTTTCTCCATGAGAAAAGTTCCCAACAGAGAAACAACAGAGTAAGCAAACAGTGAAAAATCTGATTACTTGCAATATTATTTGAGACAGTGCATTATTTCAAACCTTGATCTTGAAAATAATTTATTCATCAATTTTTACGAGACCCACATTTTTATGGAACATTCAAAAAATGTTTGTACTGTAGCTCAGCTTACAGCTTATGTGGTATCATGTTCAGAAATGCTCTTTGCTCAGGGGTGATGGGGAAATAAACTCCAAATTGCAGTAATATGCCTTCAACTTTCTGGATTTCCATTTTGTACATATTTTTCTTGCAGAGAGAGATAATAAAGAACTCTACTCTTGTTCTGGAAATAAATACTATGATAGATTTCCTCCACAATTGGTATCTACCATAGCACCTCGTTTTCTTAAAAGCACTTGGTATAAGTTTTTGTAGTTTCACAGTTTTTGTGTTCTGAAGGAAACTTCTCTGTTTATGGGGCTTCCTGCCTTCTCGGTTTGTGGTTAGGGTAACACTCCTGGTCGCTCTGCTCAGTTCGCCTGCCTCCCCTTGAGAGCTGAATGACTTCTCTGATGGGTGAGCTGGGAGGTTAACCTGAGTGTGAGTTCCTTTCTCTTTCGGAGCTAGCTTGACCTTCCCCCAGCCTCCACCAGGCGTCCTCCAGGATGCCAGTTCCCAGCTAATTATCGAACCAGGCCTGTCACCTGGGTGCCACACACACGTCTAAGGCAGTACTTGCTGGCTGACAGCTCAAGAACACTTAGACACATCAGAGGAGGTGTTAAAGCACCAGCACTTAGTGCTACCTGCCTCAGTTCAGCTCTACCTGAGACAGTAGGGGGGAATTGATTTGATTTCAGGATTTTCTAAAAGAAGAAGAAAATGTGCCTGTGGTTAAAGCCACATCCTACCCTTTTGCTTTGGTCTCCTATTTGCCTCATTCTTTAGTCAGAATTCTACAATGATCCAGAGCCTAGTGAAGAGAATTGCTGCTATTGGCTTTCCTCCAACTTGAGGTATCTGAGGTATGGGCTATAAATATAAAGAATAAAACAGAAGAGTGGAATTTGATGAAGCAAAGTAAACACATAATATATGTATTTTTGTGCATAATATAGTTACGTGATTCAAAAAATTAAAAGAATATATACGGTAAGGTAAAAGTTTGTCCTTTCCTGTTTTATAAATGTAGTTAGAAAAAAATACGTTTACTTTTACTTTATGGGAGTAAACTATAGCACTCTTTCAACAACTGTTTCTAACTTTTTTCAATAAAAATTCAGTGATCATATTACAAAAAACTGAAAAAGAAAAAAAGCAATTTGTCTTCCATGGCTAACTCAAACGCTGTCTTCATGTTTTCTACTAGCTCTTCTTGTAACTAGATTTTATACATTGCTCTATTCATGACACTGTTACTTCTTCTAAGCACCTACATTTCACTTGACATGATTATTTTAAATCAAATGTTTTCATTCTTTTTTTTTTTTTTTTTTTTTGGTTTTTCTCCGGTACCGGGAACCGAACTCACGACCTTGTGCTTGCCAGGCAGGCACTTTTGCCGCTGAGCTAAATCCCCAGCCCCAAATGTTTTCATTCTTAGGAAAACTTTAATTAAATAGGTAACATTTCAGATTAATTTTGAGGAATTCATTTCTGGAATGTTATCCTCCTAAACCTGAAGTATTGGAAAAGTCTATGTATATCTGATCTAGTTTATTTGAAAGGTGTTTTACTTGGAATTAGGCATCCTATAGAAGCTTTTATTACTAGTTATAAATATCAGAAAGTACAAAACTAGATCAGGGGTCAGTAAGTATTTTGCTGTAAAGGCTCAAGCAGTATGAGCCTCGGCAGTGCTGCTGTCAGAGAGATGAATGGTAGAAAGATATGTTTAAGACAGTGTTTAAGATATGTTTAGGATAGTCTCATGCTGGGATGGATTCTAAACACATGACCATAAAGGAGGCTGTGTTTCTACATGAACTAACTTCTTCTATAGGAAAGGGCAGCACGTAGTGCAAGATAAGATTGAAAGTCACTTTGCGGAGAAGCTGCCTCTTTCTAGTATGGTGGATCAATGGAAGGCAGCAGGAACTTGGCAAGTGGGTCAGTTTTAAAACCTTTTCACTATAAAGCTCTCTTGTTGCCATGTGTACAGAGTGAAGTCTGGATGTGATAAATATCCTTCCTAGGGTGGCTTCCAGGTCTAAATCTTGGACATTGACTGTTTTTGCTGTTTTCTCCCTTGTTGATTATTCTCGACTATTGCAGAAGACTTTGAAGATGCTGTTTAGCACAAAAAAATAAAACAAATTGAACTAAAAAGAAAGATATTCAACTAATTAAGGGAGTGATACAGCCGGGTGTGGTGGTGCATGCCTGTAATGCCAGCACTTGGGAGGCTGAGGCAGGAAGATCCTTGCAAGTTCGAGGCCAACCTGGGCTACAAAATGAGCTCAAGGCCAGCCTGAACTGCATATGGAGACCCTGTCTCAAAAAGACAAAAAAACAACAAAAAAAAGAGAGAGTGATACATACTTTTCATTTTTATCCCACCTTCCACCCAGTCCTTCCTATAATATCTCCCATATCAGGTTTGATGACCACCAGGCATGCAGATGAGGATGCCTCTTGACGCTTGGAAACCTACCCCTAGCACATTCTTGCAGCATGACCTTGACTAGCTAAGAAAGAGAAGGTGATTTCTACAGAGAGGCCTTGACTGAGTCCGTGTTGGACTTGCTGCAGAGCTGATCTGCTCAGGGCACCGTCACCCCAGCCAGGCAGTGGAAGAGAAGCCAGGGTCTCTCTAAGAGGGTCAGAGAGGCAGAGGGTGTGAGGCAGCAGAGAGGGCTGTGGCATTCTCACTCCTTAAAGTCCCCCAGGGCAGGGACCAGAATGGCTTCCTGTGCGTGTGCAGCCAGTTGGGGTGTGGACAGTTGGGTCCATGTAGATTACTTGGATGAGTTGCAGATTCCATACCAGAGAGGATGTGTTTTTTTTTTTTTTTTTTTTTTTTTTTGAGGGAAGGTCTTGCTCTGCAGTTCAGGCTGGCCTTGAGCTCACTTTGTAGCCCAAGCTGACCTCGAACTTGAAATGATCCTCCTGCCTCAGCCTCCTGAGTACTGGGATTATAGGCCTGTGCCACTACACCCAGCAAGGATGTGGGTTTTTTTGTTTGTTTGTTTTTTCAGCAAGGATATGTTTTGAGTGATTGCCTTGTTTGTTTGCCTGGCTACCTTACACCACGCAAAGATCAACATCCCCCCCCATCAAGCGGGGAGCTGTGTAGTAGAGGGGAGACTGGCATCTTATTTCCTGGCTGGATGTTCTCCAACTCTCGGGTATTCTCAGCATCCCCTCAAGTTGCTGCCAGAATAGCAGCAGCTGGCGTTGTAGAGTCTGGGATGGTGTCTGCAGGCACTGTGGATGTACTGGGGTGCCAGCCTCTGGTGCTAAGCTCTTAGCTGGAAAAGTGCACAGGTGGAAGGGTGGCTTGAGCCTCCTGCTGTGGAGGTGAGAGGTCAGCTCTCAGCAGTCTGCACCTGCATGTATTTCCAGGACCAAGAGGAGGCTTCCCAGGGGAGCTGGATGGAGTCACTGCCTGTTGGGCTGAGAACCAACTGCAGGGCAAGGCAGTGGACAAGGCTGGAGCTGTACCGCTAGAGGGAGAGCCGAGGGGATGGAAGAGGTTGGTCAGAGCGCAGCAGCCACGTCGGGAACGTGCGGTGCAGGGGCGTCCCAAGGGGTCCCCGAGGGCTCCGCAGGAGCACTGAACAGAGAGCATCTGCATGCCCACCATGCCCAGCAGGACCACTGACAGCAAGGGGCAGCCGCAAGGAGCTTAGCCAGCGACAGAAACTTCGCCTTTTCTTATGCATCTGATCCCCATGTCCCCTTCCCACTTGTAAATGAGCAAGAAGGAAGCGTGGGGGAGGGGAAGGTCGCGGGGTGGCAGGGCAGTGAGGAGGGGAAGGGCTGGAGCCCACCGGCAGGGCCCCTGCTTGGGCCAGCGGTGCTGGAAGGAGAGCAGCTGCGTGTGAGAGGCCGGAAGGCCGTCCTGGTCAGACTGGCCGGGTGCTATGGGAGCTGGAAGTGAGAGGAAGGCTGAGCCATCTACATGCTGCGGATGCTGTGGAGGAAAGCGCTGACAGAGTGGCCCAAGACAGTGGTGTGGGACATGCATTCTTCTTCCTTCATTGCGGTCCACGAGGCCAGATCTTCAGAGTTCAGTAACCTCCACTGAAAGCTCTCTGTGTACTGGGCACTGAGATTAAAATGAGGCATAAACCAGGCCACAAAGTGTTCCGATTTGTTTAGATTAGGTTACTTGAGCTTTCCTTGAGAGTTGGACTGAAGATGGCAACAGTATTTTCAATTATTTGCAATATAATTTAGGGCAAGCTTACGAAAACAGTTTCACAAGACTTATTCTAAATAACTTCTAAGGAAGTTATGATCTAAGTTTAAAGTTTACTCTGTTTCTCAGATAAACTGAGAAATTTATCCACCTAGTTTACTCAAGTTTTGGCTTTTAGATCATTTTTTTATGTTTAACAGAGGTAAACTTATAACTCAGGCATGGCTTTGTCTTTCTAAGTGAAATAGCATAGGGCATGTAATGGATTTCTTCTGGTGCTTAATTATTCATGGATAAGTCTTATGATCTGAAAAGGAACAACATGCTCTTGTATCCACAGTAAGGTAAGGGGATTAATGGTCTTGTGCTTGTAAAACAGCAGTCAAGCTCCCATTTAGTTTTTCTGATTTCCAGAAACAAGAGCTTGATTCTTACCAACCCTTGGATACCGTTGGCCTTGGCTGGCCTCATTGATGCGAAATTGTTCTTAGAGAATTACCTTCAGATTAGGGCTTCCACACTTGAAGGGATAGAAGGGACAGTTTTTACTTCTTTTTAGTGAGTTGCTTGAAGAAGCCACTTGGGTATGTGTTAATATATTGGTAAAAAGTTTTGGTTGAAATGATGATTAATGGGAACTCAAGTATTTCCATCAGATCCATCCATATTGA